CATGAGCCGCCCTCAGTTCTTACTGATGGGGGACCTACATTTACCTAAGATAATTTTGCCAGACGTTCGACTTCTTCCCGGTCATGACAACGTTGAGGTTCAATTCGCTAAAATGACTATTGAAATCGGGGCAACGCAACATGTCATCCAACCGACGCGCGTAACACCGTATTCGGCATCTTGCCTGAACCTAAAGTTTACGAGCTGCGAACAGAAGCTGAATGAGATCAGAGTCAACGAACCTCTGGCGAACAGTGACCACTGATCCATTGTGGCAAGCTTATAACTGTCGTTACCATATTACAATCAACGGAAGCCGACATTCAACTATTGGAAGACGGACTTCAACGGGCTCGTCCAAGCAGCAACTCAGACGGATTGGACACTACCACAGGATGCCTCACTTGAGGCCTGTTGGTCATTAATGAAGGGGAGGCTTGACTCGCTCTGTACTCGGTTCGTTCCCCTTAAGTATCTAAAATCGAACTTGCCAAACCGCATTGGTTTGTTAGGGAATAAAGACAGCGCGATGGCGTCGCAAACGTTGGTGATAGATACATCAGCTCGGATTATGATGAAGATTACACGGTGTACAAGAAACAGCGTAACTTATGTAACGCCGCAAAGACCAGGAAACGCCGGCAGTTCGATGAGGAGCTAGTATCCTCGTCCACAACTGCACCTAAAAAATATTTGCCTACTTGAAGCCAACTGAAACCTGGGGGCGACCTACCGGTCTTTGAGAGCATAGACGGAAAGACGCTTATTTCAAGCGCGGAGCGCGCGGACGCCTTGGCTACGCACTTCCTCACGGTATTTTCCAGTAAACCGGCTGCGGTTTCAGTACTGGCACTGATTACGCTAGTCTTGCTCGACAGCCTACAATGTGATGCAGTCGAAGTGTACCAGCTACTCGTCAACCTCGATGGTGCAAAGCCCCCCGGACCAGACGGACTTCACCCACTAATACTCAAGTCCCTATCGATTATCATCTCACCATCCGTCACAAACCTTTGCAATAAATCGCTCTCTGAAGGATCTGTCCCGAACGACTGGGAATGCTCGATAGTGAGACCGCTTCCCAAGAATAGTGATCCGAGTAAAACAGAGAACTATAGACCGATCTGTTTGACTTCGGTATTATCCAAGGTGCTCGAGAAGGTTGTGAAAAAGTGTCTGCCATCGTTCTTCGAATCGATGGACGTATTGACGCCAGCGCAACACGGCTTTACGAAAGGGCGATCCTGCATCACCAGCTTGATGTACGCAAACCACCAGTGGGTACGAGCTCTCAACAAACGGAGGAATGTTGACGTGGTCTACATCGACTTTAGTAAGATGTTTGACAGAGTGAACCACGAGGTACTCCTTCGTAAACTGAAAACCTAAGGAATCGGTGGTACGCTACTTCAGTGGTCACACTAGTTTATTGTGGGACGAGGGTTTAGAGTACAGCTCAATGACTACCTGACAGACTGCTTCCCATCGACTAGTGGCGTGCTTCAAGGAACTTGGGCCAGTATTATTTCTTATTCATATCAACAATCTTCCGCAGCAGCTCCAGTCACCATGTGTCCTGTTTGCAGAGGATTTGAAAATCTAGAGGATCATTGAGAACCAGGACGACTGCGCTCGCCTCCAGCATGACTTAGAGCGACTGTCAACGTGGTCCACTGAAATGCAACTCCCTCTTAACGCAAGCAAGTCGGAGTTCATCAGTATCACCAGACGTCCAGCCACTCGATCATACACCTTGGACGGCCAGTTAATCCATCCCAACACATCTGTCAGAGACTTAGGAGTTCTCTTACGACATGATATGAGATCACTAGACAATACAGAGAAATTGTACCGTGCGGGACTTCGTATACTATGGCATTAAGACGCAGTTTCTCCACATAGTCAGAAGAAACCGTCTTTCGTCTATTCACCTCGCTCATTAGACCAATCCTTGAATACGGTGCACCAGCTTACCATCCGCTAGCTCAGTTGGAAACTAAAAGGCTGGAGAAAATACAGCATATCACAACTAGAATGATACCGAGTTTACAAAAGCTTCCGTATAAAAAACGTTACGAAAGGCTCGGACTCTACACACTATCCTATCGTCGAGTAAGAATTGACCTTATTATGACCAATCGAGTAGTACACTTAAATCACGTCCCCATACTGCGGCCGATATTTCACCTGCGGGAACCCTGTAACATCCAAGGACACCGTTACAAACTCAGGGTCCCCAATATGAACAAATTGTCACATAAGCTTTGTATCGAAAGAAGAATCGTAAACTTATGGAATACACTACCCGAAGGATTAATAGAGGCCGATTCTGTGAAGTGTTTTGAAATCCGTATCGACGATTATTTCGGAAAACTGTGCTTTTGTGAAAGGATGCACATACAATGCCAAAAGAAGACATTGTATGCCCGGAAACAATGACACTAGTACAAATTCCTAACGTAACAAGGATTAATGATTAACTGACTAGACACAACTGCTGATGATTCACAACTAAATGTTTTTGATTTTTCGTAATTCGATAGAGTTGTACAGAAACCTCTCTACTTGCTCTTAAATACAGTCTCAGTCTCACATCTGATCTGTATTTTGTCATACGCTCAAATTGCGCTGAAAGTGCTCGCAATGTATGGCGTTATTCCACCTGCGTTCCCGATAATATATCGAGGCCGTAACGCAGATGTATCACTCCTCGCTCTATACTTTCAGTATCCAGCATTCACTGAACACAAATGAGAGTCACTGGTTGCATATACGCCTTACGTTATTAGCAGCAAGCATGTCTCATGTAGCATATCTGTTTAACAACCTTGACATTAGGTCTCCACACCGTTTCTAGAACTTATGAATGTTCTTCGATACATTACGACCGGGAACAAACACAACGAGACTCGCAAAGAGTTCAGGACTACATAGCATGCTAGTCTGATGGGAGACTGCGAAGCTTGGTTGTCTCGCCTTGCATCGGGGATTAAAATGGCTGCTGCCCTTGGCAATCATCGGGAGTTATTCCGTCTGCTACGCCAAGCAAGCAGAAGGAAACCTGGCCTTAGCGAAACTATATGCGACGACAGTGTACAGACTATACACAGCCAGTTAACGTGCTTGGAGCGTCAGACGGAGTATTTTGAAAACACTTTAATCAGCGAGAGTTACCAGCTTCCTTATCGGCCAATGAACGCCATTCTCCCTGGGTTGTCCTCTTGTATCCGCCTTCACACGCGGAGTTCGAATGTGAGATTGGACTGTTGGAATTGACTAAGGCCACAGGAGTAGATGTACTTACTCCTGCTCTTATGGATGATTTGTGCAACTGACTAGTAAAGCTTTGGATCAGACGATTGTCCCAACAGGCTGGAACCGCTCTGGTATAGTCCCAATTTTCTATTAAGGCCCTCGTTCGGAATGCGACAATCGGAGAGCAATCAGCCTGATCGCATTTTCCTCCAAGTTACTTGCTTCTCTCATTCCCCATAGACTTGCTGGCACCCGTGGAAGCCGGATGCACGAGGAGCAACCTGGCTTTCGTCGAAGTCTCGGCCATATTAATCATATCTTTACGATAACTGTTGGAGCACCGCCATATTTATCAGCGAGCCACCGTAGTCGTGTTCCTCGACTTCAAACGTACCTTCTTTTCGGTGGATCTATGTGTCCTTTAGGACTGTGCTAGGAGACGGTGTGCTTGATAAATATGTAAACCTCGTAGTAGCGCTTTACGCGCATAGTTCAAGCAGAGTAAGGGTTATTACAAATTGTCGCCACTTTTCAATATCTCCAGCGGTGTGAGAAAGTTGCCCGCTGTCACCTTACCTTTTAACTTCGTTATCGACGATATCATGGGGACTGCATTTGTTGAGTACGATTTGGAAGGTGTGGAGCTGCTTTTAGATGACCGACTTCTGTACTTGGAGTACGACATTGCCGTAATCGGGGACAGCTACCAAAAGTGACAGGCAACCTGGACAAATAAGCATTTGTTGCCAATTTTCTCGGGCTGTGCTTACACCCTCTAAATGCAAAGACCTCCAAGCTTGGCAAGGACCCATCCCTGCGCTGACCTTTTGCGGTGATCAACTAGAATTCGAAACAATTAGTTCCCTTGAGCATTTTAAATAACGCTGTGAGAAGACGAAAGCTGGCAGATGTTAATATTTCATATTGTCTCGTCAGTTTCAATACAATAACAGGAATATATATATATATATATATATATATATATATATATATATATATAACAAAAGCTAGGGTGTGAGCGGATAAAATAGAGACAGGGTGGGGTACCCCGTACTGTGGCTGTCCTATGGAGGTCACAGTGACAGACAAAGCCTTAACCGGTTACCGCCAACCATCACTTAACAAGCATTCATACTGCGCTACCACAATCGAAAGTAAGAAAACAGAAATTTCAGCAATCGTTCAATTAAACCAAAATATAATTTTATCGGTAATTCCAAGAAAACCCAATGCAAGTCTCCGTTGTTCATACACTAGATATCTGTAAAATATGTTTTCACATCAGGGATTTTATAGATAGTCATGCCTTATATTAATTTGAAATGCAGACTGGCGGAACGATACCCACTTACCTGCGCTTGGAAGTTGCTACTTATAAACCAGTTCAGAACAAATTGCTTACACTACTCTTGTTCTTACTCTATGTTCTCATTCACAGGGTTTTGTTCCCTGTGTCTTAACACTCACGTGTATCTAAACTTACCTACCGTTGCCCTAGTCTCGATTTGAAAACATCGAGATGGGATCATTGATCCATATATAGTGCAATTTTTTTCGTTTGCGGTTTATGCTTTCGTTTCACTCACTTGATCTCGGAGAATTGGAATCTTGCCTGCATATCTGACGGCAGTTGATGCCCCAATGTTTTCACCCAATGTACAGGATTAATTATATACTACCTGTGTTGTGTATTTCTTTTTTTCTATTTTCCCTTTTACGCGACCTTTTTCCATCTCTAACAATAGCGAAATTCGCCGGGACTACGTACCCAGTATGCTTTCGAAAAGGCGCCAAGTTCAGAAGCAGTGCGTCAAGGCTCGCTGTAGTCTGATGCAGGTTAGCCCTATGTGGTTTGCTTTCCATCTCTTCCGGGTGCATATTCTTGTATACAATTGTTTTCTATTGATTTGCTTTCATTATAACAGCATTCGCAGTCAGTTATCCCGTCAGGTTGTGCAAGTCACCTTTTCTTCAAACTGACAAGCTGCAGGCGGTAGTCCGTGTCACACAAGTTAATCTGCGAAGCAGCAGTCGCACAGTACTCTGTGTGATGTAATCACATCCGCATACTCAGTCCTAACAGCGCTGAGCTACACAGCGTCAGTTAAGGGTGACTTACTTATCGACAAGGCGGTCCGCTTGCCGATTGACTTAATGATGTAACGACGTCTAGTGATGGTGTGCAATGCCGTTCTGCTCACACCATTCGGCAAACCATGAAACAAGAGACATTGGCGTTTATTAGGGTCTCCGGTATTTCATACTGGCTGAAACGTTTTCTCGGTATGCTACCTTTTACACCACGTTGTATGTTCTATGCAACACATCTAATACTACTATCCGAGGGACACAACAGCGATGGGATTTTGTTGTCCATTCACACGACCAAAGAAATCGGCAACTCCGCGCTCCCATGGTTTTGTTTTTGACGACCAAGAAGACAGTCTCGCTTTTCTGGACGCCTTGCCAACGAGCGCACATTACGGGCACGATTTTGCCAGTTGTTCCAGCTACTTGTCAATACTTGGTCTGTAAGCGTAACTTCTTTCAATCATTTTCGTTCTGTTAATACCATATTATCCACAATGAAACCTGCAGGATTCTTTGATGAAGCTCCTTGGGGACAACAACTCTTTCTGCCAGTAATAAACATCCATTGACAGTTGCTCTTTTTTCGGTACAAACTTTGAAGCTCTCCAGCTAGGTTATCCTTCGACCACTGTGTAGAATGGAATTCAGTCGTCTGTTGCAGAACGAAATACCGCATCGATGTATCATGCACTATCTCAGAAATTATCAGAAACCCTCTGCGCATGTCTAACAATACCTGGTTCATTTTCTACTCAAGAAAGATCGCTGCAATAATGGATTCTTCTTGCAGGTGCTGCTAGTTTTCCGATTGCATCATATTGGCCCATATCCTCCGTAGATATTGTGGTTTGAGCATTGTAATTGCAGCTGTTGGTATTCGCTTACGCTTTCGGAACGAACAGACTAGAGGCTGCTCGTGATCGATTGTCTGTCGCCAGTCGAGCAAAGCAACACCTACACGCCTTGACGCGCATTGCCTTGTAAGCCCGCACGACCATTGGCTCCATCGATGAATATGCCAGAAGCAGCCAATCAATGAAGACCAAATCGGAATCGCTCAACGGAGCGTAGGTCGACCTATAAATAATGTGTTACCTTCTGATTATAGCGTATTCTTCGTTTTGATTCTCGGTGCGCGTTACATGAAATGTTGACAGAGGTAACGAAGGAACCGATGGGCAAGCAGCAGCTTTATTTTGGCTGGCAGCCGTCTATCACAATGCCGACTCCATTGCAGATGAGAGAGGGTTCACTTACCGGAAATCGTCGCCTGTGGAAAGCCAAGTGCATGGATTTCGCCACACGTACGCAGTTGTACAGTCATCCGGTTGATCGCCAGTTGGTGATGTTCCGACATGCTATTGGCGATGCTGAAAGATGTGTGCTAGAGACAACAAATTGGACGGCGAGCATCATAAACACAATTTGAGCGATGTGGTCCAAAGTTTCCATGATTTCTGTGAAGCCAAGGTTAGTGCAACTTATCAACGCTACTTCTCTTTTGGTCGAAACTAATTTCCAGGTGATTCAGTCAACAATTACGTAACAGAGCTGAAATTGCCAACAAGCACATGCAGTTTTTACGAGTGCCTACGCGATTCGCTAGTGAGAATGAATTGTACTGATCGTTCAGGATGAGAACATTACGCGAAAGTCATTGCAGCAAAGAAACCTAACGGTGGACCAATGCATCGACATTTGCAATAGCGAAACGGTAATAGCGTTCCGATTTCGCCATGTACCTCTTAGCCAAAGTATACGATGTGGCAGACTGCCCCAACACGTGGACTAATTTGCGAGTACTGTGGTCACAGTCATAACCCACGAAAAATTACGTTGTCCCGCCTGGGTATAGACCCGCATAAAATGCTCTAAGGAGAATCACTTCGGGAGACGTTGCCGATCAAATGTGAATTCATTTGACTGCGACGACGCGCCAGATAGCCATGAACTTGCCATTAAGGAAATAAATGATTTGTATATGTGACGCTGATGGCTGATAAACGTCCCGTACATTTCCAGTTGGATACGGGCGCCACGGTCAACATTTTGCTGGAGAAACACTGTTCTTGAGTGCAATGTAACTAAACACAACACTGTCGCAAAAGGTGGAATGGTACAGAAATTCATCAGAAGAGCAGTGTTACGCTGAATGTCATCAATCCGAAGGATGGAACCAGCCGTCACCTCACACGTTTGTTGTCGTACAGGGAGATTTTGTGCCCATTCTAGGTGTAGATTCCAGTCCGCAACTTGCTTTTGTTTCGTTTCATCGAGATTGTTCTGTGCATTCATGTCAGTTAGCTGTGGATATCGTTCATCATTATCCCGGTATATTTGGCGAAAATTGGTGAAGCTGCACAGCTACGTACATCTCTCGCTAACTGAGTTTGCCGTAACGGCGGCACTGCTCGTAAGCTTTTCCCTAAAGTTGGAACGCCTAGCTGCACTCGGCGTTATAACCAAGTTTGACGAACCCACAGATCGGATCAGGCAGGTGGCAATTGTTACTAAGAAGTCCGGTGATTTGCTTGTGTGTACCAACCCAAAACTGACATTAGACGCTGTATTCTCAGTTCTATCAATGGTACAGTTCTTCACGAAGTTCGATCTGGCTTCCGCATTTTGGCGTGTCGAGTTGGATGACGAATCGAGCTATCCGACGACTTTGGGCACATCGTTCGAAGGCTTCCGGTGGCTGCGCTTTCCATTCTCTTTGAAAGTCTCCAGTGAACTTTTTCATAAATGCCTATTACAAACTGTAGAAGATTTACCAGAAAACATTTGTGTGGCTGACGACGTGTTGTTATTCGACTTCATTATAGGATAGCACGTCTGGAATTTCGATCGGTTTCTCCAGAGATGAGCTGACAAAACATTAAACTGGAACGTGATAAAATGAAGCTTCGCAAACCAGAAATAGTCTTTCGATGGCACGTTTTTTGCTCCGATGGATTGAAACCTGATCCAGAAAAGGTGAGGGCAATCAGAGAAATGCCACCCTTTACTGACGTGAAAGGATTCATTCGGTTGAACGGAATGGTCAACTACCCTGGTCGCTTTTTACGTAGATTGACGCATAAGGAAGACTTTCACTGGGACAGCGAACAAGAGCAAGCCTTCAAACAATTAAAATGTCTGTTCGTGCTTGCCCCAATACTTACTTAATATGTTCCTGTCTTTCGAGAAACAGTGCAATAGCAGTCATTATTGAATTGGAGCGATGTTAAAGCAAAACGGAAAACTGGCTTTTCGAAGTCGTCATGCACAAATGGAGATGAAGATGCTTTCAATCACCTGTGTCGAACGCTTCAGTGACTACACTTTCAGGGGAATGACCATTGCATGTACAGACCACAATCCATTGTTAATAGTCAAAAAGCCACTCCATGTTGTGCCGTGTCGTCTTTAGAGGATGTTCATCCGGCTTCTTACATACGACCTGCCAGCCTTGGACGCAAATATACCTCGTAGTCACAGTGTCAAGAGTCCATCTTTGGGATGCAAGTGGACCTTGTCACAGTTCACACGATGCCGCATGTCGTCGTCACTGGGGAGCGTTTACAACTACTAAGACTGTGCGAACAGTTTGCAAAAGTTCAAGACGAACAGTGGCTGGTGTATGGCCAGAGGATAAGAGGAGTTTGCCGGCAGAACTAACACTGTTTTCCTATTTTCGTGATGAACTCGCAGTAGACGGTTTGATCTCCAAAGGAAATCGAGTGTTACTCCCAAAGGTAATGCAACGCGTCATGCTGAAGTTGATTCATGGTACACATTTGAGAGTGAAAAATTACGTCGCATGAGCCAGGGAGCGAATGTTTTGACCTGGGATGGCTAGTCACTTCGGGACTACCTGTGGAACTGCCCATTATGTCGTGCACGTGACGTTGGCGCTTCGAAAGGTTCCAGCAAGGCCACGATATAAGATGGCAGTTTACCTGTTCACGCATGACGGAAAGAATTACCTAATCACAGTAGATTACTTCACTGACTATTTTGAGAATGATGCAACGGTCTCGACCAGTGCTCATGCGGTGGTAAACAGGCTGCGCAGTCATTTTGTTCTACATGGAATCCATGAGGAAGTAGTATCAGGCAATGGACCGCGGTTTACTGCTGAGGAATTCTGAGCTTTCAGTAAGAAGTGGGAATGTGACCAGCGCCTCACCAGCCCTTACCATAGCCAGTCTAACGGAAAGTCTGAAGCAACGGTGAAAGTTGCAAACAGTATACCAACCAAAGCTAAAGAGCTGAACGAGGACCCATTTGTCATGCTTCTGCTACGAAGAAACACTCAGTCTCCGGAAATCGGGATGAGTTCTGTTTGTCGTTTATTTAGCCGTAGAACGTGTTTGTTGACTGCGGCCAGCATCCTGATCCAACCGGAAACACAATCCCCGGCGGTGATGAATGGCCGTTCTGAAAAACGAATGCTTAAGCAGAAACGGTATTATGATCGTAGAACTAAAGAGTTACCATCACTTCAGGTCATCGAAGATGTATGGATATAACAACACAGTGGAGGAGAGGAGTGGTGGAAACTCGGGTAAGAGAAAGCAGTTATGCAATCATGATAGGAAACCCTTTTTACCAGGGATACTACATTCACGTTAGACAACATCCACCACGGAGTGTGATGTCGAGTGCGCGACAAAACTAACTGGAAAGCAGAAGTGACGGAGAAGACAGAAAAGGACACGACGGAAGGTGTAAAGGATTTAAACACCGAAGGAGTCCACACTGAAAGAAGCAGGAGTGTTGCATGAGCATTGTACTGGCAGCTGTTGATATTCGCATTCGTAACGAACAGGCAAGAGGCCGCTCTTGATCGATTGTCCGCTACCAGTCAAGCAGGGCAATGCCTACACGCCTGAATGCGAATCGCCTTGTAAGCCCGCACGATCAATTGGTTCGATCGATGGATATGCCGGAAGCAGTCAATCAAGGCAGAGCCAATCAGAATCGCTCAATGGCGCGTAGGTTACCGCATATATAATGTTGCCCTCTGATCAATATAGTTTCTAATCGCAGCCCAGTCTTCGTTTTTGATTTTCTGAGGGCATTACACAAACAACATCCACATGGTGCAGGTGGGCGGCTCGGGTCAATTTCATCCCAGAAAGCGATTCGACGACAGTATTCCAGGACGTGGTAGGTTTTCGCCTGGCAAACTTTCTCCCTGTAAAAGTCTAACAACACTGTGACTTGGCGAGTGTGATTCGCCACCAGGTAAAGTCACTGCCCTTTGCTTCGTACTGGCGAAGTATTATATTCCGTTCACTTAATGCTAAGCTTATGGGAGCATCGTACCCCTGTTTGGCAAACGAACAGACGAAAAGCGTATGAACTGAGCAGTCATTGGCTCCCAGTGTCTGTGTTGCGGGCCCGTCAAATATCCCCGAAAAACGCGCCGGAAACTCCGGCATATAGCTGTGGAAAGCGAGGTCCAATTTCTCTCCACAACGCAGCAGCGATCAGCCACTCCGAGACGCGGCCCGATTGCGCACATTTTGACAATGGTCTTTTGCAAACTACCACCCCGTCGTGGTAGCTATTTCCCCTTACTTAATGACCCATAGCATTGGCTGTGATTCGCCCTTTGTTGGTCGTAAAAGAGTCTTCAGAAGACCACTTGCCTTTGTCCCTCTTCGTCTAAGTTGGAAGTCGGTTGGTCACGTGATTCTGTGTGCGTCGTTAGCCGGGCATCGTTCGCGTCTAATTCACTATCGCGCGTCTACCGTAACCCATTCTCGTGTGCGTCCGTTCCGAGGGCTCTGCGTCTACCCGAATACGTGCGGCTAGGCTCGTTCTCACGCTCGCTCAATTTCCGTCTCACCAGCGTGTACTCCGGGCTAAACTAACGCCATCACGTCAGCGCAAATCCGTTCGATTGGCCAGCGTTCCAAGCCGTTACCGTAGGCGTGCTCCAACCGTGCCAGTGACAATCTCATCTAGCATCGTTTACGCAATCGTAACTGAGGCGTTCTCTCAATCTATAACAGGCTGCGATTCCTTAAATTCGCTCCGCTGCTTTATGGGCAGGCTATTGAGCAAAGGCTCGGGGTAGTGTCCCTTAAGTCAACACTGTACTTCGGTTCGGACAACCGAAACCGTGGACTGCTCTGCGTTGTGTTCGTCTTTCTTTTTGCAATACCTGTACCTTTCTTTGATTTCCATTGTTTTTCTTGGCTCCATGTCTATTCGTAGACTTGAATATATACATATATATATATATATATATGTGTGTGTGTGTGTGTGGCCCAGCCATCGGAGTCTAGCGCGTGATCTACCGATGCTGAGCGGTTCACTTCCTTTTACTGTGCCATAAACAAGGCGTGGAACACGCTCACTGCTCACACGGTGTTTTCACCAGATATGAGCCAAACTGCGAAGGTACCACTGGTCAAACGATACTAGACTTTTTACGTCTGTCGAGCTAATGGGTCATGTTTCACAACCTTACAGTAGGGTCGGACGTACGGCAGCCGGTCATTGAGAGAGTGATGTCGCGCCGGTGCGATAGGTGGCGAAGTTTTGCAAAAGCGTCTTGAGCTCTTCCTATACGGTTTGTGGCCTCTTCGATTCCACAGGCACTGTCACGACTGCCTAGCCAGTTGAATTTCTGGACGACTTCTAGCTGATCTCCACCAAGGATCAGCGCAGGAGGCGGTCCTTGCCAATCTTGGAGAAGGATTTTGTACTTTGAAGGTGCAAAGCAAACCCAGAACGGCTGGCAGCCAGTGCCAATCTGGCTTGTGCCGTCTGACACTTTTATGAGTGTCACAGATAAGTGCGATATCGTTAGCATACTTCAACTCAGAAATCCGTTCACCTGGAAGCTGCTGCACACTTAGGTCGTGTCCTGTGAACGCGATTTCCATGATTTCGTCAATATAGAAGTTGAAGGGGAATGGTGACAGCGCGCATCCTTGTCTTACACTTCGACCGAGATACTCGCGTAAAGCACCCGGTTAATTTTTACATATTTTTCGGGCACACCTTTTCTTTGTAGAAGATCTCAAAGAGCACATCAATCAACCGGATCCAAGACACTTTTATTGTCGGGGGCCGTCAAAATATGTGACGGTGCTCCAAGCTAAATTGATGATACCTGGCATTCGCGGTTACCAGTCAATCCGTGAAGAACGACATAGGCAAGCAATTTGGAGGCAATGGAGATCAGGCTGTTTCCTCTATTATTGCCGCATTCCAAACGGGAGCCTCCCTTGGAGATTGGAATAATAAAGGAATGACTCCCTAGTCGGTTTGGGCAGTTTCTTGCTCCCACATTTTCACTGGTAATTCGTGTAAATGTTCCACACTAGGAATCTCTCAAAATTGAAGTAAGCTAGCGGAGAATCATCTGTTCCGTCGGTCATATTCAAATTCAGCAGTCCGATCTGACGTTCGACCTCTGAGCGAGAGTGAGGATCCAAAAAGACAATTCCGACCGATTTAATTGCCTTTCATAGTGCTCAGCCCAACGTTGTAAGCGTTTTCCTCTACAGGTGGTGGAAGACATATGGCAAGTAATCAAACAGCTGCTTGAAATAAATAGCATATTGAGGACGGCTTTACAAATCTTGTATCTGGTTCAGTGCCTCTACGGAGATGATTATCTTTGACCATACATACACACCTGCTTTGTTTTCTAAATCCTGCATACGTACCGCATGAACAATACTGAAGTCCGCCGGTTGGTTCGAAATAATTTGAAACATCTAATCAAGCTCGGCCGACCAATCATCAGATGAATTCGCCAGTTGGTGTTCAACAACAGGCATCTGGTGTCACCACAGAGTGTCTACAAGCTCGACTCGTCCAAATCGTTAAAGCTGCTTTTTTGCATCTCTTCTAACCGGCTGCCCAGACGTGTATTCCTTACCGATAATATATCTGGCATGCGGAACCACTAGATTATTATTCAGCAGCATGGCACGGAAGTGTGGGTAAGCGTACGGATTGATTGCGTTCGATTGGTATCCATCCGTGATAGTCCTTGAGACTGGCTGCTCTGATGCTTGGAGATCCTGTTTGATATTGGTCAAGCACGAAGTTAGCAATTAGCTTACCATCAGTTCCTTGCTTCCAAAGCTCTACTCTTCCTGCCATTAGGTTAAACTCTTCCACCTGGTTATTTCTTCCCTCTGATTTTTATGCAAATTCCTCTGCAATCTTTTCGTTTTATATGGGTTCATATCGTTTTCTCTGTACGCGTTCATCGTAGTTGAACAACCAAATCGAACTGATTGCTTGAAATGAGTTTGGTTTGTCATATGCACCAACATCCTTTTATTCATTCCAGCTAGTCGCTGAATGTCGAAAAAGCTTACAGAAGAAATCCACTCGTCCAGCACCCTCTCCGTGCACTCTACACAACTTCAGAAAGAAACTCAAGAAACTGAACAAGCATTCAGCCTCCCGTTTGCCCCAGCTCCGATAAACTGCTGTGAATTTGTAGAAATATATTACCATTTTTTCGCTTCAACATTTTACATTTGGCTCATTCAAAGTAGTTATGAACATTGATATAAGTTCGGTCTTTTTCGAAGTCTGCGTTTGTTATTCAAACACTGCCTATCCACGTCAATCAGTTTGTACAATGAGAGAATATTCTGTACGTGCGAAATTCATCAAACTAACTACAGCAGTCAGAGTATCCTAACCTGCGGTTCCGTAAGGCAGTCGTCACCGTACTGTAGATCTTCACTTTTCTGAAAACTGAATATCTTGTTAACTAAGCCTTTTTTATTCCAGTAGAGGATGCACAACACCATGTCGCAACTGGCCACCGAATCCTGTCAGACTTTGACTTCGTCTTCAAGCAGTAATATTTTCTCGCCTTAGTAGAAGCCGCGAATCATTCCTGTGCACCTTAGGGATGCGGCGACTGTTCGGTGGTTTTGACTGGATGCTAATTTTTAACCTACAGTCAGCTGTGCTGAGCTTCAACATAACTCTTCTCGAATTCCATTTGATTATAATGGGCTCAAGTTGGCTTGAGAGACACTATGACGTCCATTTCTTGTGGGAAGTCACCAAACAAAATGTTAATAAGAAAGCCGCTTTACCATTACTATTTTTACTTCTCCATGAAAACATAATCTTCGGTCAGATATCTGGTCTCTTTTGCGACGGAATTTATATATATCTCTCTCTGTATGATCTGCATAAAACACTACTCAACTACGCAGTGCGATAAATACTTGGCGACCCTTCATCTGTCCTACTGATAATCATTTGTTACACTTCTTTTGAAGCTGTCCGTTTTCCTTCACCTATTCTCCTGTAGTAGTCCTTTTTCATCTCTATAGCTAACCGCTTTATATGTGACTCGTTCTTCATTTCATAGGTGCCTCCACCTGAATGTGCCGATGTAATCCGCAACGCTCGGGAGGTGGTACATTATCCACTGACCAACGACTTACACTCTTAATGGCCTTTTGCGAATATGGACATCGTGTTTGACATGCCATGACTTACCACGGTGGATGGCAAACGGTCTTCTGGAGCCATGATGGCTTACTGGTCCCAGTTGATGAAACCTTATCTGTGAGAAATAAGCAATTATTCATTCTCAGATCCCTTGATGTTCGGTGGGACCCTCCCATAAGTAGCTCAGTTTGCTTGGGCTCACCTGCGATATTTGTGCCGTACCTCCGCACATCAAAAGAATCCCATGCTAAAATGGTGTGGTTTAGGCTGCTGGCTATTTTTCGTTAGGTGGTTTCAACACGTCTTTTGGCTGTGGTGCTACAACGTCTTTGGCCTAGCCTCATGTCATTGCCTTAGCTGGAGTGATGATATCGACCATTTGCCATCACCGTCCATGGTTTAACGATCATAACTGTTCCATTTCTTCCGTGTGACAATAATGCGGACGTTTGAGCATACTCAGCTAGTCATCACGTCTACTTACTTGACTGTCGATAGCAACACATCATTAGCAAGGATGACATTCATCATCGACTTTCTGGTCATACAGACACTACTAGCTGTTGAGTGGCATAATATCCCTCAACCTGCTTCAATGACTCGGGCATAGTGTTCGTATGCCTTTCCAACAGCTACTCGTTCACGTCCTCTGCGCGCGCCTACGAAAATGCGACCAAGTCAGCTAACAGAGCTAAAGGTGCTTATGCACTGACCTTATATTGGACTGCAGTGGGGCGTTTCCGATTCCTGCTTCAGAGCTCTGATTGGGGACGCGATCGTGTATGGCCCTGTACTGTACACAGTTGTGAACCTCTTGCGGGATCCTCCTCTGACTATACTTTTCATTCTGCTTTTATTTTAACAATTGTGTTGTGACACTGCCAACCGTCAAGTGCCGCATCTTGTTAAAGTCTACGCGTGCGGAACCTACGCAGTAGGGACTCGTAGTTACAACTACGCAGTTGCAACAGAATACACCGTACGTTGTGACAAAAACCATGTATAGCGCTTCGACCGTGTAGTTGAGAACAATGAGTGGGTGAGCGATAGACAGACCTTCAACCGCTTACGTACGGGTATGTGAACGTGATTGGTAATGATGACTCATACGCCATATTCCTCCTCTCTTTAGTTCGCGCTCCACTTGGCAGCGTGGTAACGATCACCTGACCTAGCTGAGCGGAGAATTTGTGAGCTTATGGGTGTCTCGGATTCTGTTTACCCCCGACTGCACTATGGGAATAGTAGACGCTATTACATAAGCAGCCTGTAAGAACCAAAGAGTATCTCAACTCCTTTGACTTCTATTTATCAATGGCTACCTTATTGCTTGTCAGACGGATCAACAAGTGGCGCAGTCTGAGTCTTTAGGCTGGCAACTTTGCAAATATGACGGCACTGCCCATATAAGATACCGCGAGGCAATAACAAATCCACCCTCGTAGTTTTGGGTGGCGCCTGGGATACTAGTCGGTAATCATTGACACGTAAGAGACGTGTCAAATACGGGATAGTATAGAAGTTGGAGGCGATTGGACCTAACGGTGCAGCAACGTACTCACCAAACCAATTCGTGACAAAGGAAGTGCCGTCAGTAAAACCAGTGGAAGTTTTGAAGGTTAAAACAACGGCAAAATCCGACGTTGCAAAATACTGAAAGTGCGTGTTTTCAGGTGCACTACATGAGCCTTCCCTTAGAAGGCTGAAGGATGGAAGTCTTCGATGGAGCTTTTAGTGGGGGAAAACGGGAGGTAAGGATGGGTGCGAATAGTAGCATGGGCTTGAACACAGACTCCCAAGATGGAGTGTGTAGCGGAGTTCGCTGGGTCCAGGCGTTTTTAATTGTTTATGATGATCGTCTGGACCGGAGTGCATCCTCAGTGGACCGTCGGGGCGGCTGGGCGGACTGCAAAAAAACTGGCTAGTCCAGAAAAAACGCTGACAGAACAGTTCCCCCGATGCAGACATGACGGTGCATTTGGGAGGTGTCACTCCCCCCACTGCACTCAAGTCCACGGTCCTCGTCCCACTAAGAAATCCGGACGTTTTCGTCGGCAAGGCGTAGCCAGGCGATTCGGGACCAATCCGGTCGTGGCCGTCTGCGGTCAAGGGTGGTTGAATGTCCCTTGGGTCAGGAAGGAGCCTTGATCCGGCTGGCGAGTCACTCGAGGGTTGCCTTGGCAGTTCCGATGGTTGGGTTTCTGGAAGGTAGGACTCAGAGAAAGTAGGCAAGGGTTGGGGGAGTGGCTTGACACCGGAGAGGGAACGTGGCATGCATGATAAAAGCAAATACGCTTTTCAAGTTTTCAAAATGTTTTCCTTTTTTCATCGATTTTACGAAACGTTTGTGGATGAGACGCACGATTACCACTGAAGCGAAAAAGGCGTGTTAATGTAAATAGCAAACGTTTACAAAATCTGTAAAACGGACCGGACATTTGACCTGTTTACCGCGTCGGTCGGTTGCCTGAGGTTGGGGTTCGAGGGGAACAGAGGGTTTCGGGGTATTCAGTGCTCGGAAATTTACCGCAGGTGCGGGTGCTTGTGTGATAGAATCAGCATGTGTTGCAACTTGTTCGTCAAAGAAAGCCACTTTCAGGTGGTCGATGGACACCGTTGTTCGGTGTGCATTCTTGTCTAAGGTGAAATGTTTCGGAGTCCTTTGCAGGACTCTGAAGGAGCCAGTGTAGTGAGGCTGGACAGGGCGCCCCACTAGGTCGGTACTAGGGAAGGCGTGAGTGTAAGTAGAGAGTCCGCTGTGCATTTGCACATCCCTGGTCTGCTCACGGGGCGGTGTCGGGCCTAGTGAACACTTACGTTGAGTTATGGCGGACGCAAAGTGAAGCTTGTACTTTGGTGCGCTTATCGAGACGTTTCCGAAAGACTGCTGCATATTTCTGTCATAGGGGCATGATGGCTATTGTATGCTGCATGCTGTCCGCTTGCGTATCTGGACATTTGCACATATCTGGTTGATCGGAGCATCAACGAGGTTGAAATGCTGGATCCAGGCTAGCCCTCGTGACGAAAATCATTTCCCATCCACTGAAGTCAGCACAGCGGCACTCATATTCCATTTGACCGGGCAGTTTCATTTCGGCGCTTGATGCACTTTTAACTAGTCGGTTTGATGTCAGACAATCCTCCACAACGGTGAAGTTTCAATCCGCAAGTACGCCTGCCTACCGTTGATGTTAATTGCTGTGTACTTTGTTCGATCTTTGACACCATGCGTAAAGTTGGCATTCACTCTGCGAAAAGTCTTTCGGATATCATGCGCTGGCCGGAAATGTGGCTTAGATCTACAATGCATTTTTTACACCCACATTTCCTGTGTGTCTGACAGATGTGCTTGTTTAATGGACAGCATCCCAAAAAATCCCACTCCCCCCATTGCCAACAAGCTGATGATGGCATACCATGAGGATGTTTCCTGTAGTCCTTGGCTGGAATCTTGCTTCTGGAATTCTACTGAACCGCGAAATCACTACAATATGTCTTCGCATCCGTTGCGTGTGAAGTGTACAACGCTGTGGTACAGTCGGTCCCATTGTTTTGGTCAGTATTACGACCACTTTGCATGGTAGCCCTCAAGAAACCGGCCGTCTTCGATTGTTAATGCTTGCGGAATATTGCCAATACTTGGTCAAGACACCGAGTGTGTAGTGTTCACCTCCACTAGTTCGTGTTTGGACCGTTTCATTTGGTTAGATCATGTCCTTCATATACCCATGCTTGGTTTATCGTTGCTGAGGTTGGTTGGTTGAAAACATTGGGCCACCGACTGATGATGTCACGAGAAACTTTAAGAAATTGGTTGAGGTACTTTGACAGGCTAGGACTTGCCTACTTGTTTGACTAAGTGCTTGGGAATCGGTCACATTACTGTTTTAAAGTCCTATACAACATAGCGCAGTTACGAACTCTGCGGTGCTCCTGTGTTGGATTTCTTGTGCCTGACCGTCAACTTTCAACCGGATTATTTTTGCCCACTTTTTTCCTAATGCCTTCTGATCTACATCGGACTCTTCTCTTCCTCCCACTATTGCTATTCGTTGTGATAGTTGCAAAGTAAACCC